TTATTTAGGGGGGATTTCCATAACAAACAGAAGGGAGTTACAGAATATGGCATTGCAAATGGTATCTCTATGGCTGTATTATCTATTCATAAGTAATCGAAGTATTCTTATTTATGAGGTGATGGAAAATTGTCCTGTGTGACAAAACCATCAAAACTGCCCCACAATGATGTGTAAAAGGGAAATATATGCTTGTGAAATGTTATCTCAAGTTGCAATAATATGGTGCCTTGAAGCATAGGGGGGAGTCTGCTACAGTATGGTTCATGTAGTTTAGGTAAACCAGAATGTAAACATTCCTCACAGTTAGGTGTAATTTTTGTCTGGCTTGGTGTCACCATACACTACAGGGGTTACTACCAGGGGTCAGGAGCAGGGGGTACCCATCACACCTGGAAAAGGAAGCATACATTTATAGAATCTGGGTTTAAAATGTTTTTCTGACTGACTAGAGAAGTCAAGATTGGGTCTATTACACTTGGTCAAGGTTGACCCTTACACTCCGAGTGTGTGAAGCAGAAACAAGCTGTAATGTTTAGTGTCTGCCTGGGGCAGAGTGCAGAGAGATCTAAAATTACGTGTCTGTTAATGGATGTAGAAGAGTAACTATTGCTACATTATTAATATAACTTTGTGAAGGCACATGCAACACATAGAAATGGCTGTAGTGGTCCAGATCGGTGGATCAACTGACCCCGTACCCTGCCTGCTGCAGTGGCCATCAGCAGACGCCCTGGGAGCAGCAAGGACAGTCTAAGCTTGTATAAGACTTGCCCTAAGTGCTTTTCCAGCTTCCAGATATTTTCACCTCAGGGGATTTCTAAAGCTGCTGTTCGTATGTTTAAGGTGTGCCTACATTAGCATTTTAGTTTGGAGCAGGAGTCTGTTTTGAAGTGAAGAACTCTGGCTCAGCAGATCAGTCCTAGAGCACCCAGCTGGAGTCTTTCCAAACTAACCTGGAAGGTGTCCTCCAGGACAGTACCTAATTCTTCCAGCTCCTATTGAGGATGCGTAGGACAATAGGTCAGGCTGGACCTACACTGAAATGACTCCCAGAAGCAGGCACTGAAGCCTGGGGTCATGTCTACCACTTGTTTGGTCCCACAAACCCAACCTGCTAATGCAGCATGGCTGTAGCACCCCTGAATGCTTCTTTTCCAGGGGTGTCTTCAGGCTCCTCTTGAACCCTTGTAATCTTTTGGGAGCCTGGAATTTTTTTACAAAAGGTGTTGCAAATCTCCCAGGTTTTGTCTGAACTCCTTGTGTTTAACCTGGCTGCTGCCAGCTTGCGATCTTGCTGTAGTACTGGGACAGGCAGTGGAGAGCTGATCCTCATTCCCATTTCCGCTCATGCTTTTTTGGAGGGGTGAGTTTTCCCCTGCGCTACTCTGCATTTGTGGTGCTCAAGAACAGGGTAAAATTTAGAAGCATAATAATTTCCTTTGCTAATGTTAAAGTATGTCTGTTACTATGAAGTCAGCTGAGGTTGAACAAATTAACCCCCTCATATCAATGAACGTAGAATGATGGGTATAACAATAACATGTTTTGTGGCTATGTAGCTTGACTTCAGCAAGGCTTTTGCTGCTCTGATGGTTAAATCTTTTCACTTAACAGTCATATAAGCAAACTAGGCTAAAGCAGTCTAGTAGAAACTGCAGCAGAATGGTACAAAGCTGTTTAGGAAACCATGTTCAGAGAGAAGTCAGTGAGAGCTTGCTGTTAAAATAGAAGGATAGCTACAGCAGCATTCTTCAGTGTCTGCCTTGGGCCCAGCATTTTCATTAATCATTTAGATGACGGAACAGAATGTGTTTGCCTATTAAATATGTAGATGACACCATGCTGAGAGGGGCTGCAAGTTGTTTGGAGATAGGATGAGAACTCAAAAAATGGAGATGTGATCTGAATAGGAGCAGGTGTGAGGTATACATTTAGGCAGGAATGATGAACTGCACAAATGTGGGATGGGGAATGTTGGCAGCTCCTTCCAGGCTGTACCTTTCCCTGCAGGCTGCTCTCAGTACTCCAAATATTAGTGGCACACTGAGTACCCTCAGACACTGTTGTTTTTCTTGCTCCAGAATTTGTCAGGGCTTGGGCTTGCTGAGGCTCAGGGCTCAGCTGGATACTGAATTCTTTACTTGGGTTTCCTTATGAGGACCTGAGAGCGACCATTGGACAGTGAGCTGGTAACCCAGCCATGGACATGGAGGCTGCCCTGTTGAGTACATGCTATGATTTCCCTTTACGTACACGGAATAAGTTTCTTGCACACGATGTCACCTTCCCCCTGTTGGTTACTGCCATCTGTCACACTGTTCATAACAGACTGGTTGTTGTGTCTGTTTCCTGTGTAGGCTCAGAAGCTCCAGGTAGTCGCAATGTTGTGTATTCAGTTCATGTGCAGTATTTGGCCAAGTCTTTTGAGAAGCGACCAGTTGGGTGTTGCTCCCTCCTCAGAAGATGATCTAGAGGTCCTGAAACTAAGATTTATTGAAAAGATTGCAGAAAATGCAAATTGTTCCTTGCCAAGTGGTGCTGAGGGGAGGGTAGCCTGTGGAACATGGGAAGTAAAGATTTGCTTGACTTTGCTTTGGATTACTTGTCCAGTTTGGAGAGACTATAGAGAGCGATAATCAGAACCTAGAAAAGAGGCTCATCATTGAAGGGTTAACCTAACAGCAAAGGCGATCTGAGAACAGACTTTAAATGCATGCAAATGCAATGAAGGGCATAGATTCCTTCCCCCACCCGCACCCCAGCCCCCTTTCAGAGATTGAACTTATATTGCTGTAATGAATGCTGAAGCTGTATGTTCTGTTTCTAATGGCATGGCTGTTAAAGCAGCAGAGTAGATTTCCTGGAGAGATCCATAAGAGCAAGACAGACAAATCTCTTGGGAATGATGCAGGTACAGTGGTCTTGAGAAGAGTGGGCTAAGGTGTTCCCAGCCAGCCTTGGGGTCCTGAGGCAGGGTTGGGAGTCTTTCTGTCGGCTGAGGGTCTGGTCCACTCAGACAGGTGACTTGTGCCTGTGAAGGGGAGGTGGAAATGAGCCTCCACCCAAGCTTGCAGCCCTGTGTTTGAGGTTTCGCTTGCAATATACTGAAATGAAGGTGTTTGCAAAACTGGAGAGCTGGGTGGCTCTTACAAACAGACTTTCTTCCCTGTCCTATTTCTGTGTTTCTCACTCAGAGCACACACTGTTTTTACTTGGGTTTATTTGTTGTGAAGGTTTGCCTATACTTTTTCCATGCTATCTGTTCTCTGTTTTATTTAGTATTATTACTACCCTGAATTTAATACCTAAAATTTTTAGGCATATCTGTGAGAGGAATTTTAAAAACTGGGATCTAAAGCCAAACTCCTAAAAATATTGTTAGAGACCAAGAGCAACCCTAATTTAAATTAGTCAATAGGAAATGCAATTTTTCATTACCTCCGAATTTTAGAGCACTTATTTAGAACATCGTTGGCCAATATACCTGTTGAAGAAAATCTGATCTGTTTATTTTACTGGCTTATAATTTACTTCAAGGCTTTTGTGCGTTGTTTTCTTTCTTTTCTTTTTCTTTTCTCTTAAGGATTTTAATAATAAAAATAATCTATAGCAGGTAAATTCATTTAGGTTTAAAAGGCTGGGAAAATTTGTACTAGTTGAATTATGATTTCTCATTCATGTTTAAGTACAGTGGGTGAAAGCAATCAGCATTCAAATTTTAAATAGTTTAAATAAATATTCTGAAGTATACATTGTCATAGGAAAAAATGTGTATAATTGGAACATACATGATCTTCAACATTTAAACCTCTGTCTTTAGTAATGTAGACTAACGTGGCTGGATGATTTTTGTTGTTTGGCACATACACAGAGTAACTTTTAGGTATAGGTCAAGTCTCTTTTGAAGGTTCTTTGTTTTACCTTGAGTTACATCTTAACTTGGTATTCTGCTTTGTTTAATGTAGCCTGAGATACTTAGGTAAAAGTATAATGTGAAATACATTATGTCCAGTTTCCATTAAGTGTAGATTTGAAGGCTGAACATGAGAATTTCAAGACCTTTTCCTTTCATTCAGCACAAGCAGCCTTTATTGAGTAATTGTGAATGTGTGGTGTTACACAGATGTCCTTAATGTCTCCTCCTTAATCTAACCTTTGACCTCAACAGGATGTTTTTTTAGGAGAAAGAATCACTTGTGTGAGAAGGGTACCTGTCTGTTCAAACTGGAATGCCATCACCTATGCTGATCAAAAAATAAAATTAATATTGATACAACTATGCACATCTACTGAACTCTAAAGAGCAGTTAGTGAAATTGATAAATATATCATATGCTGAAAATTCCATCTGCCTTCACAGAAATAGTTTTTTTAGGAAAAAAAAATCGATAAACATCAAAAAAAGTCTTTTCTCTGTGAACTTAAATGAAAGGAAGTCTTTAAAAGAGATTTTAAAATGTGTTGTTGCATTTCTGAGGAGTATGGTGCTTCTAGTTTAATGAGTTAGGAAGGATAATTTATGCTGGGTGTGTGCTTTGTTAATGTTTGAGCTCTTCACTGTTACTAAGTCTATGGATGTTAAGAATAATAAAACACGTTTCAACTAGCATGTTTTCAGGAAAACTTTGTTCTTACATGCGTAAATCATCATTATTTTTTACCTTTTCAACAACAGTAAATATTTTTGTAAATAAATTTTGCTGAAGCATAATAGTTAATGTACAGTACTGTTTATAAGGAATTGTATCCTGTCTTGAAGGTGCTCATTGGAAAGGGTCAATGTTGAGTAGGCCTTTGAGGAACACTATAAATTTCATATTCATAGTTGATGCATATTTAAAACTTACTAACTGAAGTTACCCTGGCAAAATAAGGACTCTGTTTTATGCCATATTTAGAAAGACTTCTATATTGTAGTGTCACAGGTAAAACCAAGTTTATTGAACATTTTGAAGTTCAAACTGAAAGGTAAGAATGTAATTTCTTTATTACAGCAGAATACAGTACAATCCACAGTCCATCAACACCCATTAAAGATTCAGATTCAGATAGATTGCGTCGTAGTTCAGATGGGAAATCACGTGGACGTGGCAGAAGAAACAACAATCCTTCACCACCACCTGACTCTGATCTAGAGGTACATTATATTAGATGTATTTGACCTGTTACAGGCTATTTTTATCATTATTTTGCACAGAGAAGTATTATTTACACATCAAAAATAAGTGGCATTGGAGCTCCCTTTCTTTTTTCTTGTAACAATATTTTCATAGAAAATAAGCGTTTTTCTTCTAAAGAACCATCTTCATGAAGAGCACCTACTTTGGAAGATACTGGGGGTTTCTTTCTCCTTTTGTTTAAAAAAAAAAAAGAGCAAGTTTTTCCCAAGTGAGAGAAAGGTTTGCGTTTGGACAGGAGACACTTCTAGCACAATAGTGGTTTTTGTTCTCTCACAAGTGTTCACATTCTTCCCAGAGTGGCCCATGCTTTATGTTGAGAACGCATCTCCTGTGACACACTGTAGCTATGAGTGTCCACACTGCGTTACTTTTCCCTTCCAAAAGCCTAGCCCACTTGTCATCATGGGAAATACAATCTCACCAGGATTTAGAATACTTGTATTTGAACACTTTTTCATTAGAGTATCATTTTGTGTGTGGTCGGAGGACAAATTTAAAACACATATTTTCCATTGACTGTAAGCAAAAGTATTATTTACTGATGCCATAAATTCTTACACATGCAGCATCTAAGTTCAAAAATTTTAATTCTTCAGGTGCCTAAAATCTTTAAAATTGGACATAGATTAAGGGGTTTCAAGTGCTTAGCGGCAGTTGGCTTTATTTTATTTTTAGAGGTAATTTTCAAGAGCAGTTATATGAACTTTGTTTTGTAAAACTTGCAGAAATACAGAATTCAAACCCCGAAGATTTAATTTTCAGGGGCTTCTCTTCATTTATTTCAGTTTCTATCTCACATCTGGCTTTAAAATAATACATTGCATAATCTCATTTTCTATGTGTATTTGACAGTAACTATAATCATATAATCATAGAACGTATTGGGTTGGAAGGGACCTCCAAAGGTTATCTAGTCCAATCCACCTACAATAAGCAGGGACATCTCTACCTAGGTCAGGGTGCTCAGAGCCCCATCAAGCCTGACCTTGAATGTCTCCAGGGATGGGACTTCCACTACCTCTCTGGGCAACCTGTCCAGTGATCCACCACCCTCATATTAAAGAACTTTTTCCTAATGTCCAACCTAAATCTACCGTTTTCTAGCTTAAAACCATTACCCCTCGTCCAATCGCTACAAACCCTTAATTTGATATAATAGCAGTTGTAGTAAAAAGCGAACAGATTGTGTTTCCCTGTCCTGGAAAAACCTTGTGTAAGTTCTGAAAATAAATGACAAGGAAACTATGGTTTTCATATATAACCATTTCAATACAATTTTCTCATTTGTGTGCTTACTGATTCAAATTTTAACTTTCCATTTCAAGTATCAGCTTCACAGAGGAACACATTGATTTGATTCTCTTTTTACAGAGAGTATTCATTTGGGATTTGGATGAGACAATCATCATTTTCCATTCCTTGCTTACAGGGTCCTATGCTAACAGATATGGAAGGGTAAGTGTCAAGAAATTGATGGGAATTTTCATTAGTATTTGCTGTTTTATGGTTGTTTCACAAGGAAGACCAGAGCATTAGTTGATTTCCTAGAGGCAAACCGGTACTGGTATTTCCAGACATAAAAAATCAAGGAGTAAAGCTGTTTTGCATGTCCATTCTTTGCACTTACTCAGCTCTTATATTCAGTACATAATTAAATAGCATTGGGAGTAATACTTTGACCACTTGAGGTTGGTCTGTAGGTACAGCGTGTCTGAAACCTGTTGATACCATCAAAATCTGCAAAGGTTTACTTCCCCTCAGAGTGTAAAGAACTTCCAGGAGTGATTGCTAAAACAACATTTGAGTTCTGAGTGATTGGAAGTGGACTATGCTCTGTATTGAGAAGGCAAGAGGAAGAATACTTTTGGACACAGATGGATTAGTCTGAAATTTTTTAGCTTAACTTTTTTTAAATCTACATATTGGCTGATGTTTTTGAAAGCCTGCTTATGAGTCAAATCCTTCTATTATGCACAGTCTAGAAATCATAACTGACCTGATGAATATCTCTAAAGACTGTGGGTTTCCTCAGTAATTCTTAGAAGAGAAACATGGTCTTAGGTGAATAAGAACAGTTCATGAATGAAATGCCGTTGTGAAATCAAACTTTGCTTTTTTAGGATTGTATTTGAAAGCTAATGTCTCAGCTTGTGCTACAATCTGTTATGCCATTTCATGTTCACCTCCTGTGAGGCATAACTAGAATGTGATTCTTTGGTAACCGTAAAAAAATCTATGTGTAAAGAACAACTAGATAGCTTTGTCTGGCTTCATGTAATCACTCTGTCTTCTTGTAAAGCTTATATTTATCAGTAAAAGGTATTGCCCTGTGCCCAGTTGAGTGCTGGGCAAAGCTGCTACTGATTCAGTCCATGCCTGGGCCAGGTTCTGAATTCCTCCTAATAGGTTTTTGCATTGTAAAAACCTTAATCAGTACTGCTTTGCAGCCTTTCTTGCTTGTTCAGGTGTTGTGTATTTTCAGAAGTGTTTGCTATAATAGCAGCTTACCTGTTTGAGGAATATAATTATTAAATATAATATAATTTCATTATGTGTCAGAAAAGCCAGTTAATTCAGCAGCCTTGGTTTCCTAGGTGTTATTAGTTTATATTTAGGTAGTAAAAAGACTCTAGAACTTTGTTTCAACAGTTATTGTATGGATGCATATAGACAAGAGCTTTATAGGGTATTAAACATTTACCAGAAGTTATTTTCTATTTCTCAGGCCAAACCCATCTTTTTTCATGGCACCTCAAAATCACCACATCTATGACAGTTCAGTTCAGAACAAGGAGAACAAATCCCAGTGCTCTCAAAAAACCTCAGTGCCAACAGAATCTTCCCACTTGCTTTTGGGCAGTAGAGTAGTGCTGGAAAAGTGTAATTAGTCATTGCCATAGAAGTACTTGTGTGAGCATATTTTTTCCATTTGTTACTAGTTCCTTGTAGTGGTTTCATTAAATGGGCCTGAACATAAACGCCTTTCTTCCTGGCTGCTTGAGGCTGAGGAAAATGGCTAGTATTCAGCTGCAAAGAGATATAAATATGTGTGCTGCAAGGAGGTGACTGACTCCTGATTGTGGCTCCATGACTGTTGGCACTGTTTACTCGAGAAGTAGCTTTGGCCCAGCTGGCTCTGGTTGCATGGCATGTGGCAGAATACTACTGCATTGCTAGACAACAACAGACCGTTGATGTTAAGAGGGGTTATGGCATTAGTGCTTATGCTGTGGATAAATATTACATCTTTTTGTTGAGAGGTAGCAACATGCATGTCATGTCCTTGGCTTTCAGATGCAGTCATGAAAGAGTGCCATTCTTGCTTTGTTTTCTTAAAGTTTCATTCATATCACAATTTCTCTTGGCTTATTGACAGCTTCAGACAACAGTTAGTGATTCCACAGACGTTAGAGGAAGATAGTGTCAAATGTTCAAAGCAAGCATGCTAAAACATGCATCTGTCATATGACAATTGTAGGGTTTATTTGCGGCAATGAGAGGTGCATATTTTCTTTAAAGTGTTTCCTAATGATTTCTGGCCCTTAAAATCAGAAATCCAGATCATAAGTCAATTTGAAAAAAAACCCAAACAAAAAAAAAACACATTGAGGGAAATTTTTGTTCTTTTCACCTATGTTCTGCCTTTTGATTGACCTAACATCGCGTTCTCGTCTGTTTCTGCACTTTGGTGAGGGCTAGCAATGCCCTTTCTAAAAAGTAAATCTAAGCTGCTTACATATTCATTAAAATAGACAAGCTAGATCTTCAAGCAAACAAAAATATCCTAATTAAATAAGAGGGGATTTGGCAACTTGGCATTCAGTTCTTTTCATAGTGCTTGAGTGAGCTATGAATGATGAGCAGCCCTACTGCTGAAGGGATTGATTTTCTTTTCCTTCTTCTCTACCTTGTTCCTCGTAACTTCTTGCTTGTGCCATGCTTTTCTGTATGGACGTTCTTACTTTTTCATCTGTTTTTATCACCTGCTTTCCTTTTGCTGCTGTTGTGCTCTGCTTTCTCCCTGCTTTTGTCCTTCAGCTTTGTTGGAACAAAATAATGCCTTTGTGTTTCAGTTTGTGCAGTCATGTTATAAACGGTTACATTTTTATTTAAGGGCAATTTGAATTTTGTGAATTTCATGGAAATGTATGAAACTCTGTAGGAATATGATTTGTCCTTCCAGAAGAGAAGAAAAAGAACCAAACCATACCAAAACATTTCCATTTGCTTTTGGATTTCATTTTTAATGTGTACAGAGAGAGATCCATTGATCAAACATAAAGTTATCAGTTACTTTAATTGGCATTAGGGCTTCTAACACCTCAAAATGTATGTTTTGTGCCAAATATCAGCTGATCAGAATTTGGAATTTGGAAACAGTCTGAGCCTTTCTTTAGTATCTTGGAGCAGGTGGAAATACATCCCAGTGTTGGCACTAGAATACTGTGGTCTTTACCTACATTTCCGTTCTCTGTGAAAGCATTTATATTCAGAAGGTTTAAAGGAATTTTCCTTTAAATTATAAGCTATTTTAATGTGGTTTAATATATTTTAGAGATTGAGAAAAACAAAGCCTGGTTTCACTTAACCCTTCATTCTGTGACCTGTAGGCTTAAGTGGAAAATAAGCCTTGTACCCAAAGTGAACTTTCCTGTTTTTCAGCTTCTTGTTTCTCCACAAAACAAAGAAATCAAGTGGATAGAATTTAGAAATGACATACAGACAATGTTTTGGCACCAATACTGATATTCAAAACAAGAGGCCTGCTTAAGGAGTTTGACATTGGTATTTCTTTTCTTTAGCTAGACTGTACCTCCCTTGGAGATTTGTACCTGATTTTGACCATACCTGAAAAGACACTCCGACTGAACCTGCAAATCCCAATCAACAAGAAGAGATTGTTAGCTCTCCTCCTCATTGTGTGACACCTTACAATAATTAGTTAGCAATTAGTGGCTTCAGGTTGCAAAAGAAGGTTCAGTATGGAGTTATTCTTTTAAAAACCTTATTCTTGGCTTGTCTTTTTCTAAAGTTTTCAGCCCCCACTGTAGTGTCTTGACAGCAGAGTTTAATCTACTGCAGTGCCTTAAACCAAGGCTCTTGTGCATTTTAGTACAGCAGTTGCAAGATGGTGACTACACAGATATTTAAAACCCTAATGCAGGTAGAGCTTTTGCTTCTGTGAAATACGTGGGTATCCAGAGCTGCAGCTTAACACAGTTTTTATGCTAAGTGGAACTGTCTATAGAAAAAGATGGTGTTTAATCAAGCAATTAAGGTTTCTTTGAAAAGCAACCTGTTTTGTTTCTTCTCTTAGCTTTTATGGTATTTAATCTGACATTTTCAGTAGGTGCCAATGATTTTCTTATTTGTTTTTCTCCTAATTAAATTAACTTAATAAATGGCGTTACTTTAGTATTATTTTAGAGAAATCCCCATTCCGTTTTGTCTGCCTTTTAAAATTACCTTAGAGTGAAATGGTTCACAGAAAGCTTTAAAAAAGCCATTTTTTCAGACTCAGAAGTGTGATAAAAAGTTTAATAAAATACTCAATTTAGGTCATGCATACATTGAAACTTAAAATATATATTCACAGCCATTTGATTAAAATTAACCATATGGGTTTGTAACCAGTATCGTGCTCTGCTTGCCCATTTATTCTGCTTTTCAAAATGATGTTCAAAATGTTTTATGGATGGAAGCTCAGAATGGGATTAGTTCTACACTGTTACATTAGCAGTTGATAATCAAGATGTAGCTGGTGATCTTCAATTTCATCTTAGAGCCTTAGTTCATCTAACTCCTTCTAATAACTGAGACTGCTGTGGAGTGACTTCTGTTAGTGCTCAGGCACCGCAGAAATCCTTGTTTGCTTAAAAAAAAAAAAAAAGCCAATGAGCCA